TATATATATATATATATATATATATATATATATACTGTAATAAATGTTATTTTAGTTAATTCAACTGTTTTCAAAAACGCTGTTGAAGACTAAGGAATACGGGTCAGATGTAACCAAATTGAAGGAGTGATCAGAAGATGTTTTTTTTTTAGAAATGCTGCAAAAACAATGTTATCGTAGTAGTGACTGACTTTAAAAATTTCTCTTTTTTCTTTTTTTCTTTTTTGGTCAAATAATTTCACAAAACGATGGCTTCAAAAAACTGCTAAAAAGCATTTAGACTGTTCACCATCAGTATCAGCAGCAGCAGTATCAAATTTGCCGTGTAGCTTTGCTGTCTAATCTAATCGATGGGCCAAGCTTTGATGTCACTGAACGAAAAAAACGATGACGATACTAGGGGTGACAAAGATGGAACAGCAGTGTTGTAAATAGCAAATTTTTGGATTCTTTTTTTTTTTTTTTTTTTAGGGAAATCCCTAACAGTTATCCACCATTACTCGTAAAATTTAACTGATTTTGTTTGAGTTCCTGCCCCAACTTCAAATTCTAATTGCAACTGAACATTAAGTTCTGAACTTCGATCGATCAATCTCAAAATTTCTTGTTTACATAGTCTTTTTTTTTTAATCACTTGAACCAACAACGAATCATCATCGTCGTAATCACCTTGGTTGTCGTCATCGTCATCATCGCTCATCTTAACACAGTTGGAATCAACTTACGCAATCATACTATGCGTACTACTCAGCTATAGTTTAGGTTCTTTTTTCTCCTTGTTTCATCGTCTGCCCAATTAACCTATCGCTTTTCTACAATTATTTTATTTAATTATCATTTAAAAATATCGCTGTAGAAAAAAAAAATGCTTGTTTTTCTTTATTTTACAATTGAATTTTCGCCCCTCTTCTCTTAGTCAGTTAGTAAAGTCAAAAGCAACAGCAACTGCAGTTGTTCATTCTGCATCAACTTTTTTCTTTGTACTCTTCAAAAGACAATATGAAAATTTTTTTTTCCTCTTCAATTTACTTGTTTTTTGTCTTGCTTGAAAAAAAAAAAAAGAAAATACAATTGCTTAATAAATTATTTAATTAAAAGAAGAAAAAAACAATTTTTTTTCTTATTTTAACTTTATATCTTTTTAACTATTCATTAATTGTGTTCAATTACGTCTACAGACTGCAGTCCTATTAAAATCCCCTGAAATCTGTTCACGCAATTAACTTCAAATCTATTCAGCTTCTTTTTTTGTCTTGAATAATAAAAAAAAAAATTTTGGTAGAAAAAAATTTTTATTATGTATATATGACGATAAATAGTTGGCTATCTAACCAAAAAAAAATTTTTTTTGAAGTTCTCGTTAAATGGGTATTATGCGTAATGACGACGAGACAACAAAACTGACTGGGGCTTGAAGAA